CAGGTTTGTGATTTCATTCAAAGGTAGAGGTTCACTCCCTAAATTTCATGTGCATTTCGGCAAGATATCGTTACAGATATGTAGCATGCACCGCCATAATGCTTTTTTTTTGCTTCATGTACTATAAAGTGCATAATAAAATATACAGCGTTATAATTATGATTGAGGATGCGAATTGAGGGAGCACTGATAGCAGCTATTTCTCAACTGTGGCTTATCAGTTCTGCCGAAAACACGCACGATGAAGAGAGGAAAAGCTTGGCAATCATTCGACAGATACGTCTCTCGCCATCCATCCAGGGCAATTCCGCCACATCCACAGTCAATGTATCTTCAAGCAACATTGCTCAGCACTTTGAACAGCCCAGTGAGAGGCGTTTCGTGGACGAACAGCGGTATCGCACGTTCCGGCATGGCAGGCGAGGTATTCTCGCTTTCTTCTTTGTTCCTGCAAAAAACTGTTAAAGCTTTGGTCGTTCCCGTTGCAAAGTTTACAGCTGCAGCTGTACTTATGCCTGTGACAATGCGTGCGACTTGTTGGACTTTAGTGCTATCGTAATGTGTCTTCAGGATTCGCAGTAGCAAGAGCTTATCCAGTCTCTTGCACTCACTTTCTAAACAGCACTCGCTTAACAAAATTACGCTCTTCTTATGTTGCTGTGTTTTTTGCAGTTGATTTACTTCTGGAGCATATCTGTTTGTTTTCTCGGTTTATTGCTCACAAGTGCAGCAGCTACGTATTTTCAAGCTACATTTAACTAAAATTTTTATTCGGCACGTCAGCTTGATCAGCCCTAACTCCTAGTAAAAATTATTAACTAATTCTCGGATGCACCGCGAATTGGCAGCACGGTTATGATCATTCGGAGTAGTGCTTTATCAGTTTTAAATGATTCGTCGTGAACAAGCCAACCACCACTGAGAGGTAATAGGTATCAATATTTATTCACTTTGTTTTGGAACTGATCTCAAATGAAAAATTCTTGCATGGTTGATTGCTAGTGCAAACACGAACACATCAAGTTATCAATAGTTTCCATCAAGTTATCAGCTACATCATACAAACAAAAGGCGATGATAAGCCAAAATGAGAGGCTGATAAAAGTTACCAGAAAAACATGAAAATGCTCGAATTTATTTGCACTGATAGAGGAATGCCC